AGAATGTATCTATCTACATGTGTTCCTGCTTCCTAGGTTTATTTATGGGAAAACAAAACAAAACAAAACAAAACAACCCATTCTTTTCTAAAGATGGCCACTTTCTTTAGGTACCATCTCCACGGCATTTGTATTTACGTTTATGATGAGAAACTATGAACTTGTTCTTTTTCCTTTCTTTCTTCATTTGTACACAAACCATTTCACAGGCAGTGGCCTTTTTTTAATTATAAAGCTTTTTTCAATGGGAGGTAAAACATCAGAGAGAACAACCAAAGACAAATGCAGACAACCATGTGGGAAAAGTTAAATAACATTTGATGGTTGGAAGTGTTTACAACAGTATACTCTTAGAAGCTCTTCTAATATCATTAAGCAGATAAATTGATGCTTTCAAAAATTTACACTAGAATGGAGAGGCTTCCTTCAAACATGTCTTAGCACTCCTTATGACTCTCTAAAAAAATAGAAACCTATTTGTCAAGAAGTTCAACATAATAGCAGAGCATGGCTGTTTATATTTTTACATCTACCTGTGTCCTTGACAAGAGCAGTATTAAATAACCCAATAGCCAGTGATATCTTTTTAGAGATGCTTAATATTTGTAATAATCAAATTAATATGACACTGAAGTCAGCAATATATTGCAGGAATGCAAAAGGAATAATTTTAAAAGATATACTTTGTTTGCTATGTCCTGCTTTTTTTCTTGAGAGTCTAGGAGAAGCATAAGGCTGAATATTCATGCTTTCAGTTTCTAAAATGCAGCAATTGATAGCAAACCTTTTTGAGTATATTTACAACTGCAGAGGTTATTTGAAATATCTATCAAATTTTCATGTGGGTGTACACCATAGTTTATAGCTTATATAAGGCCCCTCATTTAAGGATTGTGAAAATGTGAATGTGTGTCATCCCCTTTTTTTATTGCCCTTTTCTGCCAGTTTGGGTTTCACTGCAATTTCATACTCAGCCTTTACTGGAGTGTTTAACAGCAAACCTCACTGAACATATATAGAATTAAATTTCAAACTTCATTTGGTTATTAGTGAGCCACTCCTGATACCAATATCTGACTTCAATCATGTAAATAGAAAGAAATGCACTTAACTAATTAGAATTGCATCAGTATTGTAGAGGTGTGAGATCAGATTTTGCAGATTGAATGGAGTTATATATTTGGATTTAATCCACGACTTTAAGGTACTTGCAAGAGATATCCAGGCAGGGATCAATGTGCATATGTGTATATTGATGTTTACAAATACAGAGAGTCATAGGATCCTTAAGGCTGGAAAAGAACTCCAGCATCATAAATTCAACTATAAACCCAGCACTGCCATAATCACCACTATACCATATCCCCAAATGCGACATCCGCACACTTTTTGAACACTTCCAGGGATGATGACTCCACCACTTCCCTGGGCAACCTGTTCCAATGCCTAACCACCTTTTCTGTGAAAATTTTTTTCCTAATTTCCTATCTAAATCTCCCCTGGTGCAGCTTAAGGTCATTTCCTCTTGTCCTGTCACTTGTTACTGGTGAGAAGAGACTGACTCCCACCTCACTACAACCTCCTTTCAGGTAGCTGCAGAGAGTGATAAGGTTCCCCCTGAGACTCCTTTTCTCCAGGCTAGCAGCCCCAGTTCCCTCAGCTGCTCCTCATCAGACCTGTGCTTGACCCTTCACCAGCATTACTGCCCTTCTCTGGACGTGGTCCAGCACCTCAATGTCTTTCTTACAGTGAGGGGCCCAAATCTGAACAAAGGATTCGAGGTGTGGCCTCGCTGGTGCCGAGTACAGGGGGACAATCGTTGCCCTGTTCCTGCTGGCCACACTATTGCTGATACCAGCCAGGATGCCATTGGCCTTCTTGGCCACCTGGGCACGCTGCTGGCTCATGTTCAGGCACTGTTGACCAACAGTCCCACGTCCTTTTCCGCTGGGCAATTATCCAGTCACTCTTCCCCCAGCCTGTAGCACTGCACGAGGTTGTGACTGAAATGCAGGACCCGGTATTTGGCCTTGTTGAACCTCATACAATTGGTTGTGGCCCAATGATCCATCAATGATAGGATGGATCCAGAGTCTACTTTGAAAGGACAAGAGGTTTTGGACTCAAATTTTAACATAGGAAAACCTGCTCAAATGGTGAAAATAACAATTTTTTTTGTTTGTTTTTTATTTTGTTCACAGGGTGGTCTGGAGAGATTGTGCAGCCTTCATTCTTGGAGGTATTCAAAACCTGACTTGACATGGTCATGAGCAACCTTTTATTGATGACCCTGCCTTGAGTACTGAGGTTGAACTAAACAAATTCTTGATGTGCCTTCCTGCTTCATCTATTCCCTGATTCTGTGAGATTTCATTTTATGCTTAAATACTATCCTCTTATTTGCTTTACCTTGATACTTAAATTTGGAAATTATTAATTGCCAAATTAAGAAAATATACCATTTAAATATAATTTACTACATGTTCCTGTAATCAGAATTACTATTTAGAAACAATGCCTCAAGCTCAATTTTGTGCCATGATTTGGTCTGGGCAGAAAGTTGGATGGGGTGAAATTATTAGTGATTAATTTATACCATTTATATGGCATGTTCTGAAAATGCTGTGAAAGATAGGCAGAGATTACATCAAATTGTTCTTACCTGCCTCAGGGCTGTTCTAATTTAGGATAAAAAATAAAACCCAGGCTGAAAGCAGAAACAGATAGGTATCTGAAATAAATGATGATATAATCTATTGCTCTCTTTGCTGCAAGGTTATCCCAGTGCCTATCAACATTCCTCAGAGATCCACAGTGTCTGTGTTTAAAAGCCACCAAGTGTTTCTAACTGAAAGGCTTGTTAAAACTATTCCCTACTCCTGACATCATCCAAGAACAAGCCTTTAATCTTGTCATAAGTTTATGACTAAATAAAAATTCTTAACTAAAATTTTAAAGGATTTGATTGTTGTGAGGTACTTTTGTCCAGAGGGCTGCTAACAGTCAGGGAATTTGGCCTTTAGCTTGAAGACAAAAGGAAAACTGTTATAAAACTTTTCTTCCTTTTCCTGTAACCAAACCAACACCACCAAAAAAAATCCTATGAATCAAGTATATTAAAATAATAACTGGAAAATTAATTTGTTTACAGTGGTGGTCTGCTATGCAAGAAGCTGAATTACATTTGTACTAAGTGGAAAAACTTTCACGCATCTGAATTTTCTGAGCAGTACCAGATCAGATTGATACCTCTAGACTGCATCAATAAAACACGAAATCCTATTTTATATTTATGTGGTCATTTAAATATATGGGATAACAGGCCAAATATGATCTGAGAGTGAAATGAAATCTGGAGAGCAGAACCAGTACAGGGTCCAGGTTTCTAATCAGCTTCTATTAAAACCAGAACAGGCCCTTGATTTCTTTTTTATATGTATACATTGGTGCCAAATCCAGCCTGGGAACGAGACAATACAGATCATTTTCCACAGACCCCCACAGAGATCAAACCACTCTCTAAAGTCATGCAGTGGAACTTAAGTGAAGTTTTTCACAAACATGGGCTGTTGTGGTTGCCTGAAATTTCTGACATGCCAAAAGGGAGCAAAGTAAAAGAGATCACATTCACTGGATATCTGCTCAGGCTGTTATCGCAGATTCCTTTGAGGTGCTGAGCCCAGAAACAGAGAAGGCCAACATGTCTTGGAAACTGTAAGCCAGTACTGTATCTACTCATACACTGTATGTGCCTGAGGTCATCCTCCTCAAGGATAACAGCCATGGGACAGCCCACATTTGTCTCTTACTCTCCAAGTCAAGGTGGCCACGTGAATGGCAGGCAGCTTCTCCAGATCCTGGTTCATGCCCAGCAATGACCATAGCAATATGGTGACTGGATTTCAGGGCCTGGGAACACTCCTTGATGCTATTTTCTATAATACAGACGCAGTCTATGTATCCCTTTTATGATCAAAGCTTCATCATTTTGATAGCAAGTTACAAATATAGAACTACAGTTCTCTTTCTCTCCTTAGCATATGCTTAATGTATGTGGGAATGGGATTTAAGATGTAAATAAATGCTAGATTGCACACAATTGGAACTGTGATTTGGGCATTATAAAGTTATAAAGAAGAACGCATGTGAATATACAACTTGAAAATGGAAGACAATATTAACAGGAGAAATCAAATGAAATACTTCACTCCAGATCTCCTGTGAAAACTACAGTGATTGTCATCTTGGAGAACCCTAACAGACCTCCTAGATCTATATTGCACCACATGAAGGGCAATTTCATCAGGCCCTTCAGTGCATGGTCACCCCAGAGCACGACTGTCTCTTCTCAATAGTGTTTCTTTATCACTATGGGTTTGTACTGCTAGCTTAACATCCCTTTGTTTTACCATTTACTGGATAATTTGAACTAAGAGAAGGAAACAAGAAACATGACCCAGAAATGTGTGCTTTGCTCAGTTACAGACGAAGATGCTAAACCATAATAATGCTCCCCGCCAACAGTGAGATGTTCACATCCTAAAAAAGCCAGCTGCATATACAGGTGTCTGCACCAGATGCTTCCCTAAGCACAATGCGATAAAAGTGATTATTCCTCACTCAACAGAGAACAGTCCCTAAGCAGGGTATTTAAAGAAGAGTGATAATGCAGGTAATTAGGAGCCCCATGCATTACACACAAAGCAATTTTAAGAGGGTGAAGCTGAGAACCATCTGTCTTTATATGTGGGCCTGTGTTTTATCTGTGAATTCATCATAACCATGAGCAGTTTTCAGTCTGATTTCTCAAGCAAGATTCTACTTAGAAATTGATTAAGGATAAACAACTTATCCCTAGTTTTAATAGGTGGTACCTTGCCCTGTTTCTCCAATGGGAACATGGGCATCACAATGTAAAATCTAGCCAACGGACATTTCCATAAGGAGTGAAGAAATACCCTGGTCTTGCCTCAAAGTATGTATATAGTGACTTTTCTTACCTTTGGACTTCCTGTCGTGGTAGCTCCTGCCTCGATAATGGTGGCCACTGTCTGTGTACAGATTCTCAAGATCTTCTTGCCAGGAGTCCGGGTTAAAGTGTTTGAGCAGATCCTCCACCGTGTCAAATGCAGCAATGGTTTGATCCAGTGCTTCTGCCGTGAGCGTAGCATCAGTCACTGATGGAGAGGGATAGGATACCCCCTAAGAGTGACATATATCTCAGTGCACTTTGAACAAGTTACGGCACCACTTAAAACAACTGAAAACAGTTACTGAGAAACTTGTCTCACTATTGAGTGACACAGCTACTTCGAGCCATCTTTTGAAGTCATTACCTGGGCCAGGCTTTGTTATACCTGTGTTTTCTTTTTGTAAAGAGAAGAGACACCAAGGAACTCCCAAACAAATCCCAGAGGAGATTCAGGGAGCAAAAGCACTGCCACTGGTGGGCTGTCAGCATTTACATCCACTTTTCAAAGGGGATGATGGTTTGCACATTTACAAAGATGTAATGAAAATGTCTTTTGAAACCACTGGTAAGGCCATAGACATAGAATGGAGAGGCCAGCTTTGTCAGTTATTTGATAAGAGGCAGATCAGAAACCACAGCAGAGAAAGACAAAGACAAGTCCACTGGACTATCTTTCTCTGGTCAATTTGGGCAACAAATTTGGCTTGGTTGAAGACTTGAAAAAATGACCCTTTATTCTCCAAATTTAAATGTATTTCAGTACACCAACTGACCCAAAAATACAACTTACTAAGCAAACAGAAAAAATATGATACTTTGATTTTGGGGATGCTGGTGGATAAGAGGCTGGACATGAGTCAGCAACACGCGTTTGCAGCCCAGAAAGCCAATTGTATCCTGGGCTGCATCAAAAGCAGCGTGGCCAGCAGAGTGAGGGGAGAACCTGCCCCTCTACTCCATTCTCATGAGGTTCCACCTAGAATACTTCATCCAGCTCTAGAGTCCCTAGCACTGGAAGGGCATCAACCAGTTGGAGCAAGCTCAGAGGAGAGCTATCAAGATGATTAAAGGTATGGAGGAAAGGCTAAAAGAATTGGAATTATTCAGCCATGAGAAGGCATCAGGGTGACCTAATTTTGGTCTTCCAATACCTGAAGGGACCTTACAAGAAAGACAGAGAGAGATTTTTTACAAGGGCATGTAGTGATAGGACAAGGGGAAATGGCTTTAAAATAAAAGAGGGGAGGTTTAGGTTAGATATTAAGAAGAAATTCTTTACTGTGAGGGTGGTGAGACACTGGAACAGGTTACTGAGAGAGGCTGTGGATGCCTCATCTCTGACAGTGTTCACTGTCAAGTGGAGGGGGCTGTGAGCAAGCTGGTCTAGTGGAAGGCATCCCTACCCACAGCTGGGGTGGAACTAGATGATCTTTAAGGTCCCTTCCAACCCAAGCTATTCTATGCTTCTATGATCTCAGCAATGTAACAATGAATATTTGGATTACCAACATATTAATATCCTCACAATTGTGTCAAATAGAATGTTATTTCCCATCAGTAAGGGCCAAGCACCATTCTCTAAGTGTTCCCACTGAACCTGTGGTACAACTTAACTTTGACAGAAAGATTGTAGCAATTTCAGTTTTCCAGGAGAGGACTTCAAACATTTTTAAAAATCATTATTTAGAATCACAATATCCACTATCGTGACATCACTTTTTCCCTGGTCCAAGCACAAAGTCAAATAGTATGCAAATATTATGTAAAATATGTGCAAGAAAAACTATTAATGCAGATCTCTTACTTTTTGAAGGACCACAATCAAAATACATTATTTTGTCCAACAAGAAGCATAGTAGAGCACAAGAGTTGTTAAAACATTGGGGGGAAAACCCTAGAAACCTCTTGTCTTATGAAAACCCAGCTCTGAAGTAATGCAGCAGAAATATGCCATTTAAAATTAATGGCTTCCCAAAATATTTTTTTTGCCTCATATCCTAGTTAAGTTAAACTATTAATCTTTTTGATTAACTTCAGTCAGTTGGGTAGTAATGGAAAGGTCAATTCATTTGCATAAATTCACCCATTTTTTTGCAGGATTGTGTCCTTCAATTCCTATTATAATAGTTTTAAAGTATATATGTCTTTTAAAATAAAACAGTTGTCTCTAATGGTAAGATATATCACAAATTAACAATCCTTGATATTTTACTGCATTTATTTGCTGAAAATATGGGCGGTCCAAATTATTAAAAACCAGAAAGAGAAGAAATAGAAAACATAACAATAGTGCAGTCAACAAAGCACAGCTGCGCTTTACTGCTTACGACCAACAACCCAAGAAGTTTCAGAGGGCCCACTTGTGACTGCAATGCCTCTCTAGTGCCATGCTAAGTAAGACACAGTGCAGATGCCTGTAACAATTTATGTCCCCTAAAAGGGAAGGCATGCCTCAAAGCCTCTCTCCTGACTTCTAAGTAGCTTGGAATAGAGACTGCCAGAGAGACGGATGTCCCAGGAGCTGAAAAGCTCACACCAGTAAAGTGAATACAGCATTGTTATCTAAAGCAATGTTGCAGGAGAGACTATGCAGTGGCCAGCATCATGCAGTGTGCTAACACAGCCTTTTGGGCTACAAAAGGAAAAGCCACCCAATGCTACTTTCTTACTAAGAAGAGCTCAGTGGGGCTCATGGCAGCCCAACAGGGAAACATCAGACCCTGATTGCCTTTCAAAAGCAAGGGAAATGGTGCGAGGAGACTGAAGAAACAGCACATAAAAATCAGGCCACAGGTCTGTGGCTTACTCAATGGAAGAGGGGGTTTTTTTCACATGTTCAACTGTACATTTCATTACAGAAATGCAGGTCAGTGAATGTGCAAGGAATTTCAAACTCAGACAGTTGGGCATTCCCCTTTTTCTTTTCATATAAAAGCTTCTACTCAAGAGATTTGTGCAACCTCGTTCAAACATAGAAGAAAGCTTAATGTTTTCTCAGTGACAGCCAAATAAAGAGGAATTATTTCAACAGCTCAGATAGCCTCCTGACACCATGTGACAGGCCCAAAAGCAACTTCAAAGCTGCCAACACAACTGCCTTTTTTTTTTGTTCTGCCAAGAATGAGGTGCTGGCTTTAGGAGAGTTTGGGCTTGTTGTAATCTGGCTTCTGATATTGCATCCAAAGAGGGAGCAAGAAGAAAAGTGAAATGTAGGAAGCAATGAAGAGCAAAGATTTACCACATTTTGTATCTCTTTTGTATTTCTTAAAAGCATTGAATACATTTTTAATTTAATGGAACACAAAGGTATCTTTTTTTTTGTCAGCGCTCTTGCCCCTAATCTCTATTCCTCCATTCTTTTCTTTTTCCTATCTCTGTTGTGAACCTGACAGGCAGTTCAATGTGCATCACAGTTTTTTTGTTGGACAAAAAATTACTTCAGAAATAATGGAAACTAGACTAATAAGGAGTGATTTTGTTTCCTTTTTATTTTTTTCCTGGGTTTCCCATGATGGGTTAAGGGCAGAAGTATTTGTTTTAGCTTTCTGAGAGAAAAAAACAAACAAAAACCAAACAAAACATACCTCTGTAATATGATCTCCAACATGGAATTTGCTCACTCTGAAATTTTCATTCTGAGAGTTGTAATGTGTCTAGAACCCAAAATGAGTCCTTGAGTTGCTTGTGGGTTTCAGAGAGCAATCTTTAAACATCAGCAGAATCGTATGTCATCAAGACTTACAGGTCTGAGTTTGTCTTTCTGCTCCTCAAGACCAGAGTAGAACCCCTGAATCTTTCTCTCCTGAGGAACTTGGGTGTTCTCAGACTTTTTCCTTGGTGCTTTTGTGAAAAATTGCTCTACCTTATTTTCTCTGAGGATAAAAAGGACTTGTAGGTGTGACACACACCCAAGCTGAAGAAAACGTTTTAAGAGATAGGGAATGGTGTGGGAAAACCAGTAAAACTGAGTTTCTGCTTCTGGTTGAGCTGTAGGTTTCCATGTGACCTTGGGCATCAGCTTGCTACCTGTAACATTGGTACTGAATTTCCCTACCTGCAACATGTTAACAATTTTTCAGAAAAAAAGATGTGGAAGATAAACCTAATTTTTCAATATGAAAAAGATACTGGATTTTGGTTTGGTGTATTGTGCATTTTATGATGTTAAGGATGTTAACTAACATGGCATGTACCATACCACTGATCTCATTTTCGTAGTCATCTGCTGAGGGAGCCCTAGGCTTACATTTTCAAACACCAGCCTACCATATTTTTAAACAAAATATTCCATCACATAGATTTTTTTTCCATAATAGTCCATAATAGAATGAAAAATGAGTTTATGTCTTTCAGTAAAACTGTTTTAGCATCTCCTGCTTGGCACATCTAGTAGATCTCAGCCCTGCTAACATTACTCCTCAAGACTTTCAGCACAATTAGTTCCAGGCAATCAATGCATCGTATCATGAAGGAAAAGTTTCATTTGCAAACTCAAGGGTAAACATAAGTAAGACTGTCTTAACAGCTTCTAATTTTGGCAGTACAGAATTTTCTTTCTACTCACTGCCTGGACTGGACACTGATCAGTAGAATTTACCCATATTTTATTTACTGCTCCTTCACTGGCTACTCCTGGCAGCTATTGTAACAAAGGTGCTATCATTAAGCTCTCTTCCATGAATGCTCCAAACATTGGTCTCAAATCTGCTTCTAGCATTTATCCCCACCTCGTGTTTTAAGAGGAGTTAACAAGAGCTGTGACATGGTGCTGCCTAGGCAGCAGAGCACACAGAAGAGGACTGGCCATATTATGAGTTCTGATGCTACACTGCTGTTCCCAGGCATTGGGAAAGAGAGGACAATGACACAAATCAAATGCAATGAAGAGAAAAATAAAATTTTATACTGGATTACATGTTTTTCTTCTTTTTTCTGTTTTATTTTTCTCTGAGTTGCATTTCACCGCTGTATGCGGAGACTTCAGATATTTTATTGGAAACACTTTAAAAAAAATTCTCAGTGTTCACAGTGAAAAGCTAGATCTATGTTCCTACTGTTTTAATTATAGTTTTCTGTTTAGGTCAAGACATTCTACAATTAAAAATTTTAAGTTTATATGCTGTATTTTCATATTGGCAGAATGAGTTTGAAAGCAAGAAATGTTTCCCAATGGTTATCTCATGTGATTACAATAGTTGATGGCATATCCTGAATCTTTTAGCTCTAAAAACATACTGATTGACTCCAATATGAGTTGGATAAACACCTATTTCATTCTATTCCAAAAGTGGTTTCTCCATGCAGGTGCCATTTCTGTGAGTTGGATTCAAGCCATCCTATGAATCCGTCCGTGCGCAAAATAGTGAAAAATTACTTACTGAGACAGAGCTTGTGACTGACTCCCAGTTGGTTTCTGAGGCTGCATGCTGGAAATCATCCTAAGGGGAAAAACCCACAGGAAAAAATCACCATTAAGGCAATATCCAAAATTAACTACAGAACCTAGGAAATATTTCAGCATTCAACCTCTGTCACTTTTTTCTAACCCTCTTTAATGCAAGAGTCCCTTGCCATGTGTCAATCCTAAATAATGCTATTTCCATTAGGGTTCCTCCCTTTTCATTGTTTATAAACTAGCTCCTTGCAAGCTCGCTGGGACAAGAATAGGTGGTATAATAATAATAATAATAATAATGATGATGATGATAACAATAATACCATCACCAATATGATAATTGCTGCTTTGCATAGCAGGACCCAATGTGGTCCAGGACATAATATTTATCTTCTTTATGTTAAACACCATCTCTGTATGCCTATAATCAGAGTATCAATGCTGTTGCCAAACAGATCTGTTCTGGAAAGAATGTGGACATGCCAATACCCTGGAATTACTTAGTCAAGGTGAAAAGCAGAGTAACCTAATCCATTTGAAAAGTAGTCCTAACATGACTGTATTGCTTTTGGTGCTTGAGCTGAATAGGAGTTCCTCTCTTTACAGGAATGGCACTATGTTCTTTACATCAAAAAACACAACCGCAGTACATTCACAGTAGAAGAGTCACTGCACCAAACCTCTGGGTATTTATGATTAATTTGAGCACAGGGATGGGTTTCATCTCATCCACCTTTGGACATCTATAAAGCCAACATCTAAGTGAGTTGTTCGTTTCCATTTACAGTCAACAAAACCTGGCATTTTCAGGGTGAAAAATCATCTGATAAACTGTTTTAGAAGCTTAATTTGGAATGACATTGCATCCTAAAAGAGCATTTTTGTCTCTATTGTCTCTATAAAAGAGACCTGGGAGGATAAGCTTAGATATTGATGTCAAAACTGTAGATACTGACATGTGGTCACCTAAATACCAATCGACTTGTCTGACCAGTGATGAGAAATCACCACTTAAATAATGAAGAAGCCATTTCTTTAATATTTTGGCGGTTTTACACATTTCCAACTGGAATAACTAAACCATGAAAAATGGAAAAAAAGGCAGCATTACAGAATGGTTATTAAACACACACATGCAGTGAATAGCTAATGATCAACAGGATTATGCGGGTAAGGAAAGTGGACTGAAGTGACAGCGTACCGAGATTTTAATTTCTAATAATCTAATTTACAATGAAAAGATTTAAAGAAGATGGATCAATGCCTGGAATCACAATTTTGTCCTAACACAGGATCTGCTACGCTTTTTTTTAAGCTAGCAACCAAAGGGGAAAATGCATGCTCAACTGATGCTCACTAGACTTGATCCTGGATTGGACCATACATATATGCATATATTATTTCTTAGGAATGGAAAACAGAAAATTGATCACATAATCTGCTGATTCATCAATAAAATTTTCCTTTACTCAAGAAGGAACTGCTTTCAGATCCAGAATCAATACATGTGGGTTTTTAATGTTTTTCATGTGCTATAGAAAAATATTCAAATATCTCAAAAGTCACAAGATTGTGAATTCAATACTGCTAGTGTTTCTTTTTAAAATGTCCCTTTCTCTCAAATCTGAAATGGCAAAACTGTAGTGGTTTCTTCAGTACTTAAGATTAGTAGAAATTAAGAAACCCCATCACTAAGTGACCTTTGAAACTGCAGGGCTTTTAAAAGGCTAATAATTAAGTGGTCATTTTTTCTAAGAATACAGAAATATTTTAGGTACAGTATTTCAAAGCAGATTTTTTTTTCTTGAAAACAATAAAAAGATCTGCAAAAGCTATGATCAGGTCATAAATAATTCTGAATGTGGCTACCTTGGCCACATTCTCTACACATTTAGTTGCCCAGTTCTTGACAAGCCGCAACTTAAATTAAATAAAAATGGATTTGAAAAGCTCATGAATCCTCTGGTAATGGCTGCTAGTTGCAAAATTTGGAAATCATTTCCTCTCAGTCATTAGCTTCCATTTAGCACTTCCAGAAAAAGAACTAAAGTGGCATTGAGTTCTGTGGCATTATTTTAAAACAGGAACAATTTGTCTCATTGAATGTTTGGAGTAGACTGTAGACAACAAGTAATTTTGTGTTCAAAGTGATGGTCCCATTATGTTGTCTAACTGTAGATATCAAAAATGTTTCTTTAGTCTGATTCTTTGAGTTGGTTGATGCCAGGGAACCCCTCCAAAATCCTGAGATAGACATGTGTACCACCTGCTTCTTGGATCTCAAACCTTATGACTGCACATTTTGACTCTGTGATTATATTCGATCTGCATAAACTATTCACAACCCTATGGCTTTTTTCCACCATCACTTAAGGCAGCTGCAGTCATTCTTGGCTTCTCAGAGCTTTCAACCTCTACAGTTTGAAGATTTTATTATCTATGTCTTCTGCTTGCAGCTATTTCAAGTAATGATATTAAAGTAGTTCTCATCATTACAAAAGTCTCTCCTCTTTTCTCACCATTGTCCATAGTACAACCTGAAGGACAAATCTATTTTCAGTGCTATCTATTCAATTTATACTATCTTGTTTATGAAAATTTGCCTATGATCACTTTGGCTGTTGTTTTCTTCATTACTTAATACTATACTTTTCAGTTAAAACATTAAAAAAAACCAACAAAACCCCCCAAACCCAAAAAAACATAATCCCCACATCTTTTCTAACCTAATACTGGAAAAACAGGGTAGTAATAATTTGGCTACGTCACCCTGACAACAGTGCTTCTATTCTCGTATGTGTGCAGGTAACATAACAGTACTGCATGAGACTTCAACAAAGCACTGCATTAACTATTCTACAAGCAGCAAAATTACAGGGAAAACAACAGGACTACCAATCACCTTCTGATGGTAGCTACTTCTACTGAAAAAAACAACTTCTAAACCTCAGCTTCCAAAATTACACTTCAGCAAGACAAATACTGAGTCAGTCCTTAGAGTTAAATATATATGGACATTGATATATTGTTCTTGGCTCTGTTTCAGACAAAGAAAAGCTACTCTCTCCTTTGCAGACTGACTTTGCCTATAGCCTGTCTCCCACCACTGATCACCAATAAGTGACAAGGAGTCACAGGGAATACTCTGTGTTTCACCTAGAGCTTTCCCAAGTGGAGATCATGAGGCAAAATCACAGCCATTGATATATGAGACTGCAGAGTCAGATAGCACTGGTTGCTGAGGAAGATGACTTGCAGCCTGGGGGGTCCATGACCTGCAGCAGCACAAGCTCCACTGGGTTGAAGCCATCGGAATTGGTGGGAGCTGTAGGAACAGAGAGGCATCAGGAAAACACCAGGGATGAGGATGAGAAGCTTGCCAGTTTGGGAAGCATGTTGTCCATGACTCACTTTGCTGTACAACCCATGTGGCAAAACGTGAGTCCTTCCAGCCATGCTGGATTACTGCCTGGTCCTCAAATTAAAAGCAAGAAGCAGCCTCTCATATTTCTGTGATTCTTCATTTTTTACATAGTTTATCTCTATAGACCAGTCTTTTGGCATCTTGGTATGTGACATCTTTGAGGTAGGACGCCAGGGGTAGGCTACAACTCCCACAGGACAGGCACAGCACACTGGCAGCTCTCTCCAGGGGAAAGAAGCAGCTCCATATCTCTATGAACTTCTTTCTAAACTCCTTCTCTTAATCTGCAGGTCTGTGGGGTGAGTGGACTAGGTTTGGTAAAAGATTGTTTATCTGACAAAACAACTATAAACTATGGCTAATGAAAGCTGAGGTGATACTCTCCGCTTCAAGGAGTGGGAAAGGTTCTCAAAAGAGTTTTGATTAAGCATCCCTGATCCTAAGACAGCATCCTTAACTGATGCTTAGGGTCCATTGGTTCAAGAAGGTCCTCTCCTGAAGGAGCAACGTTCTCTACTATGACCTTCTACTCAGACGACAGGTAAGGGGGGAAGGGCAAAAATGAAGGCATGTTCTTGGGGCAAGTAAACATGAGAAAGAGGAAGAATGAAGCAAACTAAGGAAAAATTAAGACAGAGAAGCTGAAGAGTTGGGCTCTGTCCGTGGTCACCCCATTTGTGGTATTTAGACATCATAAACTATAAACCAAAGAAAAGCAGTTTCTAGAAATTTGCAGAAGAACAGAGATAAAGGATGAACTGAGGCACACAGCAGATCCTGAAAAACCAAATCAGGGGTGAAATGGGGCACATTCAAAAAGGTCCAGTACAGAAACAAAAAGTTGTGAACTCTCCATGGAGTGTAAGAATTAGAGACTAAGGACAATGGAAGGTCTGTAAAGAAAAACTAGGGTAAATTACAAGTTGAAGAAAAAAAAGGCAAAATTATCCTACTGTTTAGATTAATAAAAGGAAACTCAATCATACCTAATTTTGAACAATGGTCAACAGGCATCTATTACATTCAGAGCTATTTGCAAACAGGTAGCTGATAAACTTGTATTTGTTGATAGCAATAACAAATTATAATAATCTGGAAATATTTCTTTTTTTTTTTTCCTGCAACAAGCAATAGTACCAATATTTTCTCCAAGAATTGAATTTGTAGGTATTACATTTTATGTAAAAAGTGACAGGTATTTCAAGCAAATAAACCCCAAACTCAGAACCTGGTTTGTAACAGAAATGGTGTTATGTAAGTTAGAAGCAAAATAAAAGTCATAGTTTCATTCAAAAAAGTGCTGTGACACATACCCAAGTTTGTACACTTCAACATATTAATTATAATTTTTCATGTAGCATTTTAGTACACTCCAATTTCTATTCTTAAATATAAATAAAAATCATATAGATGTACACTTTGAAGTATCTTTTTCTTTTACCATACTTTCATTTCATCACATTGCTAGGCCTTAATTTAATATTAGAATGTCATTTATCAGCACTTCTCCTAAGGATGCAGTAAGATACCTACAGCAGGCTACTCACTAGGGCGCCAGACACTGCATTTTTCTTACAGTAATGGTCAAACCACTGCTCTGTTCAGCTCTGGTGACCAGA